AAGCCACTCAGATTTGATGCAGTTGATGCGACAGATCTTCTGTCATCCTCATCATCATCCTCCTGACTAGTAGGCATCCCAGTTGGCCAGTTGTCAGTGCAGCCATTCACAGAACTGTCATTGGTGTTGTCATCGCCAAAGTGGTTCTCGAGCCTTACACTTGTATCTTCTTGACTTGAACTTGTCCTGTATCAAGAAAAAAATCATTTTTAAATATTTCTAAAAAATATTTTGTTATAGTAATGGAACTGACTCTAAACACCCACACACTCAAAAAAAAAAAAAAAAAAAAAAAAAAAAAAAAAAAAAAAAAAAAAAAAAAAAAAAAAAATCCAGTTTAAGTATGAAGTAAATGAAAAACAATAAAAAATACAAAATCTCCAGCAGGTAAATGCAATTAACAAAACTATGCTCCTGTCACTGGCCTCCATGCATTTAGCATTCAGGTTGTGGCTAGCAGGCCTCAATGACATGTATTCTGACATCACAGAGCTTGTAAATCTCCCTATGAATTTAATGACAAATAAGGATCTGGTCCTTGCTCCAGCTTCCATGATAATAAATGGTTGAGGCTTCCAGTTCTTTACAAATTTGCCAAACAGATGAGGCCCTTGCAATTACCTGACTTTGCCATTTCTGGGTTGATTCAGACGATAAGTTTTCCTTCACAGACCTAAAAGTCTCAAATGGATCTAGAGAGAAACATTATCTGGCACATAAAACGGAAGGAAACATCGACTTACGGAGTAGTGATTTCATCTTCCATGCTCTGGGGTGGCGTGAGTTCATTGAACCCAGAGTCGGAAGTGATGGTGAACTCTCCTCCATTGCTGTATCCGCCTGCAAAAAAATACACGTGAACGACGAGCTACATGACACCTCCGAACTAACATGGTGCTGAAGCAGTGAAGAAAATATATACCTAAAATATCAAGGGTATCCTAAGTATGTGTAAAATCTGTGTAACTGAACCTTAAGGAAAAGAAATATATGAATCAAACACGAAAATAAAACGTTATAATGTGATGATAATATCACCAAAAATTACTATCTAATTACCAATTCAATAATATCAATTCTATAAAAAAACAAGAAAATTATTTGCACAGGCTTTAATCTCATGTGATGAAAAAAAAAATCTATATGTATATACATGATTTCTAATTACCAGGATAATATTCAAAAGGTGAGATTCTGAGCCTCTTAATGCAACTTATTTTGTCTTTTATCAGAAGAAAAATTGTCCATTAACCGTCCCAAAATTATGAGTAACAACTACCTCAGTCTATGTCATTCTATTTACAATAATATAAGTGGAAAGGAATATGAATATTGGTTAAAAATAAGGAATATTGCTTGAATTTTTTTTTTTTTTTATTAATAATTCTGCAACATTATAATTCATGCAGACTGTCTCTCTCTCTCTTAATAAACCTGAGAAATAACTTCAATTTAATTCTAAAAATAAAGAAATACATCATTATAAAGAAATTAGTAATATGCATCTCATTAAACCTCCTGATACATGGCAATAGAAAGGCTCTTAATGTATGGTAATACTATTTTCATATGCATTTCGTTATGCCGTTTATTTTTCTACTCTCATTAATTCGAAACAAAAATAATGGAAATTACTTTTTATTGATTTGGAAAAAAAGAAATGTTATGTACATAGAAAGACAAAAGAACAACTGGTTCTTTTCTGACATTGAGGTAAACATCTTTTTCAAAATAGCCGCCAAATAGAGAAAACGGTATAGAAACCTCAGTGAAGGGGAACAGTGTATAATAACATTTATATTTCTGCTTTATTCGCGTTGCTTGCATTATTATGCTATATAAAAGGTTCCGAATCGCAAGGTTTAAATCTCCCGCATAAGAAACATAAGGAAAAGAATCGCCAAAAGTATATAGGATTGGGTTGCCAAGGAAGGGATCGGCGAGTGGCACCTGATCCCCCCTGCGCGGCTCGGGAGCATCCGATCCCTTGCCCCTTGATCCCCTTCGCTCCGATCCGATGCTCACTTGTTCTCCACTTGCTCCTTTGTTAAATCCTAATGATGTAAGTGGGCGTAATCGATCAAAACTTGACATCTCCACTCGAAACACCTCAACTCCATTCGTTAAATTACTAAAAAATTGTTTGTGCACCTAGAACTCTGTTCTTGGTTCTCTGAAGTTCGGATGGCAAGCCGAAAGGCCTAAAAAACGACTTATAAAAGTGCGCGCGCATCCGCCATCTTGGGTTCATCGACTGATCAGCCCCGCCAAAATCCTGAACACCTTTTAACCCAAATTTTTAAACTAACCTTGCAATTTCGCCTTACCTGAAAGCAGCTCTGATGTTCCCGCAAAATACTGGAAGTCGCTGTCACACTGATGAGAGGAAGTCTCTTCTGGGAAGTCGAGTCTAGGTCGTTTCGCAGGCACCGCGGACTCCATCCCGCGCGCTCCGTCCGCCATGGCCGCGCCTCTCGGGTGACGTCACGCCGTGTTGCCA